ATCACTGGAAAACTCCTATACCAAAGATTCTGAGAATATTTGCCATAACTTGCGACTGAGTGTGTGTGTATGTGAAACTGTTTACTGTTTGTTGTGTACTGTGTCTTTTGTGCCATTTTTAATACCCTGTACTGTGTTCTGAAAAGAAAGGTCTGCGCTAGTAGGGAGAAATCCCGGTCGGTTTGCGCCTGACCAATTATCGTGTTTTATTTGATCAATCCGAATTTTATCTCCTGAGACTCTGCTGTAAATTAAATAAGAAATTCAAGGTGTAAGGCTTGATAAAATCTATTCTAGAAGTAAAACCTTACAATATTGTCTACCAGTTATGAACTCACATTGGCACACAAATATTTATACGTGAATAAAACTGAAAACAATTAAAACCCCAGTTAAAAATTTAGCAATACTCAAATCGCAGTTAATTTGGCACATAGTTTCAGCTCAAGAAATATTAGTCATAAATCTATCAATGAATTCAAAGCTCAAGTCGAACTTTTGTCTTCGACCCTTTCACAGTATTTATATTCCAATTTCCGAGGCGTGCTTCCGGGAAAATTACTATTTTTTTCTCTTCATTTTGTAGCTGATCAGTGAGGAATTTTTCCACTGGTTTTATTTGCACTGAACATGAAATAGAGGGTATCGAGCTTTTGTGGTTTTACAGCTCAGTGTTCATAAAAAATGTCACGGCGTGTAAGTTCCCCCACTTAGTGGACAGGCTGGAGCTTAAAAACCTATCATTTTATGTTAAAAAAATATAGTTAAAAGTGGGAAGAGTCAATGGTAAAGCATGCGTATTGGCGACCACTAAAGAAAAAAGTATCTTTTAGCAGAGCATAAACGTCCGTAATTTTTTTGAACGTTTATTGCTAAATCCAATAAAATAATGATACTGATGAGAATCTTTTAATAATGAATGACAGCATGATTTTTTTTTCAAGCATATATTCAATTACTTGCCAAGGCGACTCAGCTCCACAGGAAATAATTGGCAACGCTAATTTTCGGCGGGTTGAAAATGTTTTTCTGAATTAGCAGTCGAATAGAAGTGCTGTACTGTATAATAAAATCTCGTTACAACGAAGCCACTGGGGCCAGTAAAAAAGCTTCGTTTTAAAGAAAAATTCCTTATAACGTAACTTTTTTAAAGTTGTGTTGATGGTTTCTTAGGGATCCAAAAAAAACAGATTGTCTCCTCCCAATCCACTAAGGAAAAAAAACGGGTAATCCCAGGACATTTATTGAGTCCACAGTGAGACCCCGAGATGCGGACGTAATTGGTGCATCAAGGGTGTCCCTAAGTTGAGTCTCATTTTCCCTTAGACTTACATTATATAATTTTCAATTTTTTTTCTAATACTCACCATAATTCCATGGAAATAAAAATTTTCTCTCAATTTAAACGGATTCCAATCAATATATTTCAACACAATATGGGCATTTGGGGAATTGCATAATGATACCTCTGTACAGTACATAGAAATGTTGGCATTCTCTGTAAAAATAACATTCAAGTGAAGAAGTGAGAAGGAAGTCCCTCTCTGCTGAAGGTAATTTTTTAAAATTAGCTAAGTGGATGGTAAATTGGTGAGAGAAATACCCAAGAACTTTTTTTTACATCAATTTTAGGGTTGGAAATATATGTTTCGTGTAATTTGGCCTGAAATGTATTTGCAATTTTATCACAAAATTTCCCTATGTTGAGTCAGTGTCCTCATGTCGGGCCTATTTAATTAATTTTTTATGGGAAAATAAGTGTCCCTACGTCGAATTTTCCTCAGGTCAAGGTGTCCGCATGTGGAGGTCTCACTGCAATTTCAAAATCATCTCATACTGCTCACTTGCCCTCAATCGTTCCCCCAGCATCAGATCCGGCGCTTAACCAACCGAATAAATAAATAAACAAAATAAAAAAGTACTGCACATCGCAGTACTTCCTTGCGATTCAAACCCTGCCGTACTCCCAAGATAACACAGCTGTCATCCGAACTAATCACGTCTGTGGCAGAAACTAATACGATCCAGAGCACCCTAAAAAAAAAAGGAGCCTTTCAGTCCCACCACTAAGAACACCAGCAGAGGCCTAAAAGACTTGAACAGACCACATTTCTTTTCCTTTTTTCTTCAAAGAAAACATTAAAGAAATAAAGAGGAAAGAAGGGATTCCCGTCGGGGGACTGACTGACTGACAGACGACGGATGGTAACAGCTGCACCGACGACGAGAACGACGTCGTCGACGTCTGTGCCACGTCACACCCTCAACGGATACAACAGAAAACCACCCATTCAAATAAAAATAAAATAAGAAGCATGGCTTTTTGAGTCTTGACAGGACCCTGATGGTGGGGGAGTGTGTGTGTGTGTGTGTACGTGTGTCATGTTCTAGTGCGCAAAAAAAAACGGAAATTGGCACACCTCAAACGAAAATGAACTCGCAAATTTTGAGTTTTGACCTTTTAAGCGTGAACACTTCAACAATTGAAAAAAAAAATAAATAAGAAGCATGACTTCTTGAGTCTTGACAAGACTCTTATGATGGTTGTAGTGTGTTCTGTTCTTTTGCACAAAAAATAAAGACAGAATCGGTCACACCTCAATAAAAAATGACGTCGCAAATTTTAAGCTCTAATTTTTCAAGCAAAAAAACTTCTACAATTCACACACAGAAAAATTATGAAAAGCTGGACTTCTTGAGTCTTGACAAGACCCAGTTGGTGATTGTGGTATTTTCTGTTGCGTTAAAAAAAAAGTCACACCTCAAATGAAAATGAACTCGCAAATTTTTAGTTCTAATCTTTCGAGCACGCAAAATTCAACAATTTGCAAAATGGAAAATTTTAAAAATAAGATAAAACGCTTAAATTTTTTTGCCTTGACAAGACTCCGAAGTTGTCTTTTCAATTTCGCCAAAAAGAAAGGGTCGAACCTCAAGCAAGCGAAAATGAACGCGCAAATTTTGAGCTTTAATTTTTCAGTCACAAAAACTTCAACATTACACAAAACAAAATGAAAAAAAATTCGACTTCTTGAGTCTTTGGCCAAGACCCTGATGGTGGTTGTGATGGTTTTTTTTTGTGTTCCATTGCCCAAAAAAAGGGCCAAATCCCAATCGAAAATAAACTCGCAAATTTTTATTTTCCATTTAGGTTCGTTTTTTAAAAATAAAAGATGAAAGAATTAATTCACTCAGTTTGAAACAAGTGGACTAGACCCTTTTATAAGAAAAGCATCCCACCCTTAAGTATAACAAGGTTGACAGCCAGCAAAAAAATTTCCCCGGCGAAAATTCTGGGTCAACGCTCGCTTCCGTTCGGCGAATTATTTTATTTCATTTTTCATTCCATCCGAATTTTCGAAACTTCATTTTATTTATTTTTTAATAGTACCGAAACGAATCCTCGGCTTTCCCGCGTTAATTAACCTAAATCACGAGGACAACCCAGAAAAAAATCGGAAACGATTATGGATAAATGTGATTAGGAGGAACCGGAGAGAAACTAACTGGGTTTCGAGATTCTGTACTAAAGTAATTTCGGTTTTTTTTTTCAAAACTGTACTAACACTCTTAGAACTCTTAAATAGTACTTCAGCCTAAATCTTTTTGATATTGAATAAGAACCAATGTCTAACTTTCTTGTTTCTGCTTTTACATAAAGAATTTTGTGCGTTCTTCAAAACTTTGACTTGACAAAATTATAACAATTGCGGGTTCCGATTTACGGACACCATGACATGTTGATGATTCAACTCATGGACACTTCAAACTTAAAAAAACAAACTACCTCAACATCGGGAATAATGTTCACGGCTTTAAAAATCTGAAAAAAATCCATTGCAAAAGTTTGTTACTACACACATCATTTCGGAAAATTTCAACCGTCTTTCAAGTTAAAATTCCTCTTCTTCCTATGGCAAAAGATTATCAGAATCTCATATTTCCAAAGAGCAAAAAAATATTACTTGATTTTGCGAGGTTTGTAGCAAATGAATCCCATTTGATTGAGGCAACTTTTGGAATAATGTCCAAAAAATAAGTGTGTCACTACTTTTTCATTGAGTTGGCCTACATTTTATTTCTGTATAAGCTAGCATTAAACCATTGATTGATTAAGAAACTTTATTTTCTGCTTTTCAGCATTCACAAGGTTCAAACAATGTTCCCACTTCCAAACCCCCTCCCATCCCCACACATCCATCCAAACACATTATGATGAAAGTAGCAAAATAAGCTGTTTATGGGTTTCAAAGAAAAGGAAAATACACCAAATGTTCAAATGCAAAACTGATGTAAATGAATACACTGTGTTGCCCTCACTAGATTACAAAAAAAATATATCAGTACAGTAATATTTTAACAAACACAAATTGAAGCACAAGGTGTTCAGCCTGCTCCCAGATAAGTTTTAGTTTATTAAACAATTTGGAGATAATCTTTGAGGAGAAAATTGTATAAAGCTAAACAATAAATATTGTTTGGTCTTGATGCTTCCCCTCTTACTAGTTTTTATTTGATCATCTGCTCATATACTCATATTATTCTGGCCCCGAGATGTGGACATAATTGGTGCTTGTAAATTGTTGGGTATAGTCCTCATGTTGGATCACTTTTTCCCCATAGACTTCAATGGGAACATTTTTAATTGATTCTCCTCTTCATCAAAAATTAGGAATAAGTCCCCAGAAAATTTCGATTAATTTTTTTCTCATCTTCAAGAGACAAAGAAGAAAACAAAAATAGCTCAAGAAACAAAGAAGAAGACTAGCTATACTGTGCGCAGATGATGGTGACAAATTAAAAAAATTAGCCTGTTTTTGATCACAAATTGGAGTCATTTCATCATGATATTGATTTTCACTTCCTGTGAATTTAAATAAATTAAAATATTTTTACAACGAAGCTGTTGGGACTGTGAAAACCGCTTTGTTCTATCTATTGATATTATTTCTAAGGCGATTTGAATAACATAATTCCTGTATTTTTTTGTTGCACTGGCGTCACAAGGAACAATGGTCAAACAAAGAGACTTTTCCTGACAATAATGACACAACAGTCTCAAAAAAAAGAATTCCTAAATCCACAGTAGTGGGAGAGGCAAAAAAAAATCACGAGCGACTACACATACTGAAAAAAAATCAAAACAAGAAAAAGATGATACTTTTGTTCCGTTTTTCTCAACGGCGACGACGACGAAGAAGGAGAAATATACGCGCTTAGATCCCTCCATACAGATAGCAAAACCCATCGGAACCACATCTACACAACGTCCAACCTCAAGTAACCCCGCATTGTTTTTCCCCGAGAATTCCGACAGAGAGGGATGCTTCCAAAAAAAAAACAACAAAATAAACCCACCAACTCGCACACTTGAAAACAAGAATAAAAAAGGAAGAATAGACAAAGAAAAGGAATGGGAAAAGAGAGAAGGGAAACACGAGACAACCAACCAACCAACCTTGCTTGACGGAGACGAATCTGGCGTTGAGAGCAGCGCAGAACGAGGCCTGCGGCAGAGAGTCATGCAGCTGGAACAGCTCGTCCTTGGTCACGGCCGAAGACCGGGTTCGCAACGCGGCCCGGGACCCGATGGGACCCAGGTACAGCCCGTCACGGTCCCGCAGAGCCAGGCTTCCCCCGTGGAACTCGATGGAGAACAGGCATTCCGGCCCAATCTGACGCAAAATGTTCATTTCCATATACTTATTAAACAAACACACACACACACACACATACAGAAAATTAAAAATGACAATTCAACACTTTTTTCTGCCTTTCTTTTTTTGATCCTGTTTTAGTTAGTGTTCCCTAATAAGGCCCATCATTCCATATACTGATATAAATGAGCTTAAGAAAGATTTACAAGTATTGGAATTCAATGAAGAGACCCTTTTTGAAATCTTAAAGGATCAAGATAAACTGTTGGCCTTATATGATTCCTCATCAAAGATTCTCTCTAAATGGTTCATTCAACTAAACCTCATCTGGAAACTAGCTGAAGACCTCGTGCTTTAAATTGGGTTCATTAACTGCAGCAATTGCTTCAATTCTGGCTCATGCTCCAATTCTTGTTACTGACATTTTGTTTTTCAATGGCAGGGAAAGAAGGGGTGTATGCATACATATCAATTGTGCAATATTATTTTGTGGAATGTATTTTCTTTTATTTTTGTTATCAATTTGCATATAATGTATCGGTTTCTTGCTCTGAAGTGATTGAATGTCTTTGAATGGATTTGGGTTGGGTGGGGAGGGGGTTTGGATGTGGAAATGTTGATTGAACCCTGTGAACGCTGAAAAGTGGAAAATAAAGCTTCCTGCTCATTCACTTGTTTAAGTTAGTTGACCCTCAATAACGTAAGCCTCCTGAAATCAAATTCTTTTCAAGTCCATGCCTGAATTAACTTAGAAACAATGCATTAAAAACCTCTTCAACTCCCAAGGTTTTTCCTCTGAACCCATCCATGACTCAAATTTTCTGAGGCCTTTTGGCTAATATTTTATCATCACAGGAAAGAGAATAGGTGGACTCTCTATAAAATGATCTTGTCTACAACAATTTTCTCTGTACAAAGCATTTTAGTGGACCCATAGAGTTCTTGCCCCACGTTATAGGGGTTTTCTACAATGAAATTCTACAGTATCTACAAAAAAATTTCTTTTGGTACGTTGAGTTATTCCGCTGCTGTAGAGAGAGTCCAACTGAACATTAATTTTATTTCTCTCACCAAAGCCACGTGCTTTCATTTCTACAATTTTAAATGTAAATACAGTATATTATTTATTCAAATACATTAATTTCATTTCTCTCACCAAAGCTAAGTTTTCAGATCTACAATTCCTGAATTTCTCTCACCAAAGCCACGTGCTTTCATTTCTACAATTTTAAATGTAAATACAGTATATTATTTATTCAAATACATTAATTTCATTTCTCTCACCAAAGCTAAGTTTTCAGATCTACAATTCCTGTATATACAGTACAATAACAGAACAGTACAGTATTCATTAAAATATACACGGTGTATCCTTTTGTTAATGCCTTCCTCACCGAAGCCACGAGTTTCCCATCCTTGGACAAGTACTTGTCATTGCAGGCATGGACAGCGTAGGCCAGTGAGTCGGCGCGGAACTCGAGTGTGAACAGCGTGTCCGGCCCCCAGGCCACGTTGGCGTCCACCTGGATCTCGTCCCCGGTATCAGACAGCCGCGCAAACCGCTTCCGGCCCACGGATCGAACATTCACCTGCGGATCACAACGAGTTCCGGAACCAGATCAGCCAAATTGCAAAACATAATTTAAAAAAAAACTAATACTGTAGGAAGAAACGAGTTGGTGGCGGAAATTGAAAGAAAAAAAAAGGCGAGTTCATGTTCGCCTTGTCCTGATGAGGAGGCTTGAAATTCTCCACAAAATTGAGCAAACAATGCAAGTACAATGTTAGTTACTTTTTTCAATTCCGCTGAACTTCTCCAAACTTGGAGTTGTCAAACCAAAAATGCAATTGAATCAAGGTTCAGTTGAGCCTCTATAAGTCAATGTCTAGGGACCAGTAAAAAAAAATCCACTTCAGGAGGTTTGAAAATATGGAGATTTTGAGTCAGGAAGCAGGCATTTTTGTGATGTGGAAAAATAGAAGAATTGGCAGAAACTGTAACTGGTAATATTCTGGGCCTCAAATTGTTTCATAAATGAGTTGACAGAGTGCTGAACTTGGAAAAATCAAGGGTTGATTTGCAAAATTAGTCTTTCACCTCCATTCAAAACACGTCAAATTCTATATTTTTCCTTTTTGTGTGGCAAGAAAAAAATAGCCAAAAGGCCTCAGAAATTTTGAGTTAGTGAGGTTTGATGGGAAAACACTGGGCGTTGGGAAGGTTTTTAATGCGTTGTCTCTAAGGAAATTCAGACAGGGACTTGAAAAAATGTGACTTAGGGAGGTTTGACTTAGCAAGGTTCAACTGTATTTATACTATTTTTTTTACCTGAATTTGTATTGCCACTGAAACTCTGCGTAAATTCATTTCTTTAAATATTCAATCAAAGGTTACATTACTTCATTTCCTTCAAAACTCTCTTTGTCCAAAAATATGATTTGCTCATGAAAATGAAGCTTTGTGACTGTGATAAGGAAAAACAAAGGTACAGTGAGACCCCCACATGCAGACACCTCAACATGGGAACATATTTGACATAGGGAGACTTATTTTTCATTTAAAAAATCATAAAAAAGGTCCAACACAGGGATACGGACTCAACATGAGGATATCACATAATAAAAGTGGCAATTCATTTTAGGAGAATTGACTTTTATTATGCTTAATTGCAAGAAACAGATATTCCCAACCCTAAGATCTATGCAAGAAAAATACTTTGGTACTTTTCCCTTCACTTACCCATCCATTCAGCTGATTTTAAAAAATTACCTATAGCACAGTGGGACTTCTTTCTCTCTTTGTGACTTGAATGTCATTTTTACATATGCCAACATTTCAATGAACTATACAGCAGTATACTATTCATTGCTCCAAATGTTCTTATTGGGTTGAAAAAGAATTAACTGAATCAAATTCAAGGGGCAAACAAAAATTTTTCATGGAATTCTGGAGAATATTTCTTCCATAAAATAACAATTAAAAATTATATAATTTAAGTCTATGGGAAAACAAGATTGACTTCGGGACAAATCAACTTAGGGACACTCTTGATGCACCAATGATGTCTGCATCTGGGGGTCTCATTGTAATTTTCCTTTTCTAGCCTGTATCTAGAGCCTTGTTGCTTGAAAAGAATACTGTAGAGCCCTCCTTCTGCACCATCATTTTCCCTATTTTAAACGTTCACTTTACTTGAGAACCGGCATAAAGAATAAAAATAATTAGAATATACCATGGGTCTAGCATATGTTTCCGGAATACAAATTGAAAAACAATTCCTTTTTAATGCCTTCCTCAATGCAATGGCACAAAATCCAAGGGAACATATATAGTGACAGTGAATCCAAGGCCAACTGTATTTCTCACAGCTCAACAGTACTGAACAAAAAACGCTTTAAAATGTCAAAGGAACCATTTCCTCGAATTTTCAAGTCCACTGACTCTGACTTCTATGGACTCGTTTCCCGTCAGATAACCCCCTTGACCGGTACTTGAAACAAAAATCAGGAAAACAAAGCAAAAGCGAGTCTGCGTTAGTTGAAACGCGTTCGAAAAAACTTTTTAGAACAGAAAAATGTACACTGATCTTTCAAATCGTCACTTAAGTTCTGTTTTCATCCATGGTCCCCGCTTAGTGAAACTTATGTGTTCCTCAGTGTGTTTTATTATGCGGAATTTTAATGTGCAATGCGAAAAAGTTTTCTATTAAGATTAGATTGTTTTATTGATTTAATTTGCTCCGGACAATAATCAAAAGACCTCATAACCCTTAGAATTTGTATATATTTCTGCATGAAATTGAGAAAATTAAAATATACAGTACTGTACAGTGAGACCCCAAGATGTGGACATAACTGATGCATCAAGAGTGTCCCTAAGTCAAAATGTCCCTAAGTCAAGTTTCATTTTCCCTTAGACTTACATTATATAATTTTTAATTGTTTTTTATGGATAAAATACTCACCATAATTCCATGAAAATAAAAATTGTCTCCCAATTGAAACTGATTCAATCCATATATTTCAACACACTATGGACATTTGAGGAATCAAATACAGATACCTCTGTACAGTACATAGAAATGTTGGCATTCTCTAAAAAATTAAAATTTGAGTGAAAAAGAGAGAAGGACGTCCCTCTATGCTGGAGGTAATTTTTTTTATTAGCTAAATGGATGGTAAATTGGTGAGAGAATTGCCCAAGGACTTTTCTTACATCAATTTTAGGCTTTGAAATATCTGTTTTGTGTAATTTGGCCTGAAATCTATTTGCAATTTTATCACAGAATGTCCCTATGTTTAGTCAGTGTCCTCATGTTGGGCCCTTTCATTATTTTTAAAGGAAAAATAAGTGTCCCTATGCTGAATTGTCCTCATGTGGGGGTCTCACTGTACTATGAAATCGCAGTGATCATGACAAATTCTTACTCTTGACTTTCTGAATTTGCCACACGAAAAAGATTACAAGTGAAAAAGGTAGACAAATTGTTTTTCTCATTTCCCTGAATTTTCAGGAAAAAAGCTTCATTCGAAGATTAATTGGATAAAATTCCATCAATATTTGGCACAAAAATACGCTTTGGTGAATCGATTTCGTTACGTGAGTCCCTCGAGAATTTTTAAAATCGGAAATTTGCCGTTCAGCACGTCTTTCGTTATGCGGGGACTCACTGTACAGTAAAAAAAAATTGGAAATGCAATAAAAAATAATAATCTTCCAGGAAAAGAAGTCACGGTACGAAACACCGTTATTTATTTTTCTCGAATGAAAAATTACTCTCTGATGACTGTCAAAAAAATGAAGCGAAAGACGGAATGGATGTCATGTCGTCGTCGTCGTCTTCGTCGCCGTCGACACCGAAGATTCCTCCAGTGAATTAACAGCTGTCGGATCGGTTCATTAACGTTCGGGCTCATCCGGGAGCAGACAAAGATTAATCACCCAACGGACGACTAGCAAACAAAGTCGGTCATAATTAGGGTACCCAGGGGGGTTGCGGGTTCAAGTGCCCAAAATGCCTCAAGTTGAAGGCCACATATCCGGATTGATGACAACATAAACAAAATTTTGAACACGGCGCTAAGTAAATCTTACTCGTTGAACTGAACGATTTTCATGTGCAGAAACATTTACTAATTTTTTTTTTTGAGACGAAAATGTTTGCGAAAAATCAATCTCAACTCACTCAAGCCGGGTTTTTTGTGCGACACTGAAATCAATTCATTTGATAAAATAAACGTTATAATGTGAACTTTAGACTAATAAATTATGCTGCATTTTTTCACGATTTCCTATACAGAGTTTAGTTCGAGCCAAAATTTTTTTTTTTTACTCAATGCAGTCTCCGAAAATTCAAAACTTCACTGAATGGATTGAAATTTTGACGCAATTCAAAAATTATAAGAAAGTACAGTATACTAGGCATGATGCACACCATCAATTTTAAAAGCTCAATTTTAGAGGGAAAAGTATGTTTGTGGAAGATCTTTTAATCCCAAATTTAAACAGAAAAATACTGTATTTTAAAAATGGAAACAATGGCAGTGAGATCCTGAATATGTGGATACCCTGACATATGGCCAATTTGACTTGAGAGGACACTTGAAAACCAAAATAAATCAGGCATGGTATCTGGACATAGATACCATGCCTGGACATAGATATCATAGGTCTGAGTTAAGGGCACTTTTTTTATTTCCCCAAAAACAAAACATTTTTTCATTTTGACATGTTTTGAAGAAATCAATCTATTTAAATTCACGAAGATTGAAAAAAATAGTTCAGGATGTATCAGCAATTCATAAGCAAAAGCAAGCCTATTTTGTGCATATTTTTTCCTACCATCAGTGCATATTCTAGCAAGACTTATTCTTCTTCTTTGCTTTTTTTATCTCCTTTTGATACCAACAGATCAGATTCTATGTGGCTTTGTTCTGCACTTCTGCTTTCTTCAACTTGAAGTTGTGGGAGGAACGACTTATTTCTAATTTTTAACAAAATGGAGAACCAATTAAATACATTAGCATTGAAGTCTAAGGGAAAACAAGACTCAACTTAGGGACATTCCAACATCAGGACACTCTTGATGCACCAATTACATCCTCATCTTGGGGCCTCACTGTGGAACATTTTCTATGTCAGGAGGACAATGCTATATAAATATTAGCTCATCCTTTCAGTGACCCTAAAAATATTTGTCAACAGAAGAGTAAAATTATGTCTTTTCAAATGCATATATTCTTTTGTGATCCGGGATAAACATATTTTTTCAATCAAAATATTTTCTTGCCCTTCACCAAGTGAAGTGACAACATTTATGTTTCCTCTCTTCCTCAAACAGAAAACACACACACACACACACACAAAATCAAAATGAGCAGAGATTCAAATACAGTCAACCCCCGTCTAACGGACTTAATTTGTGCAATGGACAAGTCTGTTGGGCAAAAAGTACTCCAGACAAATTGGATTATATGAAAAGTTAGAACTTTTAATTGTCAACACTGATTTTAAACCAACAGAAGTCTGTTCGGCAGATTTTGTCTGTTGGGTGGGAAGAAAAATGGCACTTTCCTGTTATCTCAGTACCTCATTCCTAGACTGCACTACCATCCCGACAAATCTTTAGGATGAGTTAATAATCACAACAACCTACCAGAAACTGAATGTTGTATTTCTGCATTCTGCTGAAACTGATTTTGGGAGGCGTTTAGGTGAAGTTAGGTTAGGTCAGGTTAACTTGGTCAGAGGGAAGGTACAGAGATAACAGGAATGAGGTACTGAGATAACAGGAATGAGGTACTGAGATAACAGGAAAGTACCAGAAAAACTGTCTGCAAAGCTGGTCTGTTAGGCGAAAGTCCCTTATGCGGGAGGTCACTGCCATTTTCACACACACACATACATACCTGCGGACGTGCGCCGAGATGCACAGTCCACAATTCGGCGTCCCCGGGCACCTTGGCCTCGCACACGACCTTGTCGTTGAGGGCGCCCAAATAGTAGCCGCGTCCGGCGTGGCGAAGCGCCCATCGACCGCTCCCGTCGTCGGCGACGGAAATCTCGAGGCGGCCCGTCGTCTCGTCCACTTCCTCATTCTCACAGGTCACATTGCCGAACTGGTCGACGGCCAGGTAGCGGCCCAGGTGCGAACGCAGGGCCACGCCGCCACTCGTGCCAAAGGGCTCCAAAGTCCACACCTGGCATTTATTCCGAAAAAATAAATGTAATTGAATATACAAATGAATACAGTGAGACCACCAACATGCAGACAAACACCTCGACATGAGGACAAAGTCGACATACAGGGAACATTTATTCTTCAATAAAAAGCTGGACATAAAAAAGGCCCAACATATGGACACTGACTCGACATGAGGACATTGCTTGATGAAATTGCCAATACATTTCACAAAAATTGACTTTTATTTGTCTTGATTGCAAGAAACAGATATTTCCAACCCTCAGATTTATGCAAGAAAAATTCTTTGTCATTTCTCCCACCATTTTCCCATCTGTTCAGCTAATTAAAAAAAATACCTATTGCATAGAGCAACTTCATTATCTCTTTGTGACTTGAATGTTATTTTTTTTTAGATGCGAACATTTCAATGTACAGTACAAAGATACACTATTCAATGTCCCAAATGTTCTTATTGAGTTGAAAATATATTCACTGAATCGAATTCAAGTGGCAAACAATTTTTTCATGGAATTCTGAAGAATATTTCTTCCATCAAACACCAATTAAAAATTATACAATGTAAGTCTATGGGAAAACAAGACTCAACTTAGGGACAATTCAACTCAGGGACACTCTTGATGCACTAATTACATCTGCATCTGAGGGTCTCACTGTAAATAAATACAGAAATAAACCACAAAAAAAACCAAAGCATTCTGTGGAAAATTGTCTCATTCTCAATGCAAATTGAAATCAATCCTTGAATTTGTGGTGGAAACACAGTAAGAACCATGTCAAAAACGCCAAATACAAGTACTGTATACAGTAATGAGAAAATAAAAATCAGATTTCCTAGATACAATTGAACCTCAGTAACTAGACCCAACACAAGTCATAAACCTCCCCATTTCAAAATTTATTTTCAAGTCTCTGTCTATAATTCCCTCAAAAACAAAACATTATAAAAGCAACCATTGAAGGCTTTCCTGGTCAAACCTCCAAAATTCAAACTTTCTGCACGCCTTTTGGCAATTATTTTCCAGACACTGGAAAGAGAAAAGCAATAAAAATATAGCTTGATGCTTTTTGAAATAAAGTAAGAGAATGAAAGAGCAAATAACCCCTTGGCCTCCAAGTTCAGCATTCTGTCAACTCATTTCAGAAGCAATTTAATTTCTAAAATATGACCAATTAAAATTTCCTGAAATTCTTCTTTTGCTTTCCTCAACAAAAATGCTTGTTTTCCAAAGTAAAATTTTTCGTTGCTCTCTCGCTTGAACTTCGATTTAAAGAGGTTCGACTGTAAGAAAAAAAAATGAACCTTTCGATTCCAAAATAAAATAATGCTTTCCTCAACAAAAATGCTTGTTTTCCAAAGTAAAATTTTTCGTTGCTCTCTCGCTTGAACTTCGATTTAAAGAGGTTCGACTGTAAGAAAAAAAAATGAACCTTTCGATTCCAAAATAAAATATTGTACGACGAATTTTTACATCATCTTCCATAAGATACCCGAATAAAAATCAATAATTCAAGACAGAGAGTAGAAATTGAAATATTTGAAACGCAAAAAAGCGAAAATATTCAAATTAAAATTGAATTATTCTCCGTTTCCAAATTTGATTTTTATATATAATAAACTCAAATTCGCGGGAATAGGAATATAAAACTTGTAATTCTGCAACACTCCACGCGTCTCCCTTTTATTGCAATTCGGACGAAAATCGCGCATATTTCAATTTTTTTGGCAAATAACCCTCATTTGGATTTTAATAATTTATATATAAAAACATAAATATTTTGTCAGAGATTTCCAAGATCGATGACCAGAAAGCAATTTAAACCGAGGATTGAATGTGTTAAGAACACGCTTTTTCATAGTATCATCGTTGGCAGAAAAATGCTTTTTTAATTTCCAATTTTTTTCCCGGAGCATTCTGGCATGAAACAAGCAGGTCTTCCACTTTCCAACAAACAACATTTGCGAGGCTTTTGCACAAAGGGATCACCTAAAAATAGTCGCTGAACATGACTGAACACCTGGCCGACCATTTTCTGCCAATTATAAGACATCAACATCCCGTTAAAAAAAATAATAATTGCCACGTTTTGTGGACAGTTCGTAAAAATTTTTCCTTTTTTCAAATTAAATTTCGCGACAAAAAAACATTTAAATTCATCAGGAAAGAAATCCATACGTTGTGATTTAAAAAAATAAATTTAATTGTTTATCTTTTTTCACAATTTGCAAAAACTGTGGCGATTACCAGGCAATAATTTCGGTGTTCCACATTAGCTTAACGCTGAAATTTGACGACTTCCAAGCAGATAAAAAATACCAGATGTGCAAAATGATGAAGAATCTTAACAGAAAAGTATGAATTTGCCTGCAAATTTGTGCATGTGAATCCAATCCAGGCCTTTTTCTGCAGCTCTCATTCCTTGTCTTTATTCTTCTTTTGACCTTTCCCGGAAGTACAAGAAGCAGAGCTTAAGTAATTATGTCAGTCGAGAGAAAAGAAGAAAAGCGGTTCTGATCTTTTAAGCCCCAGAGAGTTATTTTTTATTTTTTAGAAACCTTTAAAGCAGTTCATTTTTTTTCTTCTTTTGGAAACAGAAAACCACCAGGTCTCCGAATATGGCCATCACACAAATTTAGACTTAGACAGTAAAGTACTTTATTGTATTGTTTTAATAAGTTAGAGCTTAGGCCAACATAATTAAAGTAATATGCACTTGTACATGATAGAATTTCAGTAAAATCTAATAGATATTTTTGCAGAAAATTTTCAGTGTAAGCGACTGCTTTCAAGTCCTGGAAGAAACCCTACACTCCTACAGGATGCAAATTTGAAAAAAAAATGTGTCATTATAACAAACTTTTCAAAATTCAGGAACAAAAATTTTCCAATTTCAGCACAAAAAACTTGTTCCAGGAATCTATCAAGATTCTCCTTGTAAAACTTTCTAAAATACTGTGCTGTATTACAGTACAGTGTATTTAAACTCTGTAACAAGTTTTTTCAATTCCATATATTTTTCACATGGCCCTGACTCCTGGCAGATTAAATTTAAATATTTTGAAAAGTCGATGCATGCACAAAGAAGCAAGAAATCAAAATAAGCTAAAAACGGATTTTTTAAAAGATAGTTTTGCTTGTAAGTGGCCTTCATTTGCAGTAAAGGCTCAACATTTTCCATGTTTTTACCTTAAGAAGCCATTTAAAATGTTTGCTTCACTGAATGTTTCTGAGGTTTTTAAATTGAGACCAAATATGCCCTTACCCAACGGCCAAAAATTAAATCCAGTTCATGAACGCACTGAACACAATTTGGTAATGGCATTCACTCCACTCAAATATATTTTGGCAATTTTTAAAAATGGGCATTTATGCATTAGAAACTTGTACAAAAGCTAAACAAAAAATTGGGAAAGATCAATTTAAGTTGAGGATAAACTTTTCATTTTGCTATTTTAACACTTCGTCAGACCCATACTCCAATCAATTTGTCAATTTCATTCAACTGATTCCTTTGGTTCATTTCCAATCCTCATTTGGGTTGAAAAATACCAATTGAACACATACTTGAGAATTGATTCAATTTGAGGATACACTTTTCAGTTTCTTACTTCAACACAAATTTTCTCACTAAAGCTCCAATTGAAACTTTGGTACTTGAAGGTCAGTTTGGGAGAAATCGTGGGATTCGTTGTCACTTTGTCAGACTTAAACGTTAATAACTGTGTCAGTTTCATCCAACTGATCACTTGGGACCATTTTTCAGTCCCTATGTGGGTTCTGGCTAACACAAGCAAAACTGGCTTGGTGCCAGAGCTGCCTTGTAGTGGGGTATTTTTGTGCAGGGTACTGTAGACTTTTTGCCTGCTCTGGAATTTCCAACCCTACTTCTCTGTGACCAAAATAGGGTCAGCCAGAAAGAACACTCTTAATCATATTGAGTCATACTCAGGAAGGTTTTGATTCTTTGAGATTCCCAAGTCACCATCTTAGTGGCCAAGGGAGTCATTTTGAGGCATGATTTTGTCAATTTCTTGAAAAATTGCAATGGGTTTTGGTGGCCCTTGGGCAAATTAGGAAACTGCCAAGTGCAAGCAGTACTTAATGAGGTACATATTCTAAAAATTTTCAATACCAGTGCAAACTGTTGAACAATTCCAATAAGAAAGTTTAAATTAAAAGAAAAAAATTTAATTGATGTAATATTATTAATCATTATTTTCAGTTTAAAAATAAATCATGCTCCTCGCATTTTAGCAAAAAAATTGAAGGACACTGGAACATAACATTTACTTTTTCGAAAAATGACCAACTAGAAATCTGCAAATCGAAAACCACATTCAACCTCAGATTAAATTTCATCGCAGGCTAAATTTTAAAATCTTCAATAGAAACGAGGGATGACATTTTACCGGAAATGTTCTCATCAATTATTGTGAACAAAATTATATTATTTAAGAGCATCGCGATTATGAAGAATCACGCAAACTTGATCACCAGGAACTTTCACAATCCAATAACTCAAACCTACCTGTGTCAAAATTTCTCAAGTCTTTGCCTGAATTCCCTTGGAAACAATACAGCACATTAAAACCCCACTAACTCAAAAGCTTACACTCTCAAACCACTATATCAAATTTTCTGGGTGTTTTTGGCGATCAATTTATTGACACAGGGAAGAGAAAAAGCAGTACAAATTGAAACACTTCATTTTTTAAAGCAGTGAAAGATGATCCCTTGCCTTCAACTCATTCAGAAAGCAATTTTAAGCGCAGAATATCACCCATTATAATTTCTTGTGATTCTTCGTTCACTTCCCCCCCCCCCCCCCCCCCCCCCCCCCCCCCNCGACGCGAGCTCCGTTCATTTTCACTCAGTGAATAACTGAGGTAAAAGGAAAAATGAGTAACTCGGTCAAACCAATCTCTCGAGTGGTTTTCGGACGAAGCTGGACATAAAGCATGTTAACCTAGTTAGAAATCTAATATACGGCTTCTCAAGTCGACTCAGATAACTTTTCGAACATCTTTTCTGCGAACAGTAACTGATAGCACTCAGATAGTATCTAAAACCATTGAAATATTGAGTGCGGCACGTGATTTTGAACGTTCTCGAAGTTTGGATAGATTTAGAATAAAGTCGTTCTTCGCGAACTGAGGAATTCAACCTCGAAACATCGTCGAACAAATGATCAAACGTTAGTCTGCGTGGAATACGTTCAGTTCCAGGCATGGATCGAAACAATCACGATACAGAACGACACGAAAGACTTCAGCATGTTCGCGAATACCTCAACATCATCGTGAATCTTTCCGGAATCTATACATATATGCAAGAATCCCGGCAAGTACCTTTCGGTACTACATATATAGCAGGGCGGAGAACTGACCTGCTTCTTCTTCATGGACACCCCGTTGGCGTTGATCTTGAACCCGAACGTTTCCGCGGTCAGATACTTGTGCCTCGCGTTGATGAGCCCCACGATCCAAGAGCCCGGCGGGAGTGCGGGCGAGCCATTGGCCGCATCCCCGCCGCCGTTCATCATAATCGGCGGCATGCCGAATCACAGAAATGAGGCAAGTAAAAAGGTCAGGTCGACAGTTGACCGCACTCAGAATATCAGGACTGTATAACAAGGCACAAGTATCGGAGTTCCTGTGTTAATCAACGCAATGCACTTCGCGGGTGCCGGCGAGCAAGTGAGAGCGTTGTCCTGCCAGCCGGCCAGCCTAGTGTCTGGCGGGAAGCCTCCTCCTCCTCCTCCTCCTTCGTGTCCCACCGGGGCACTCAGCTTTAGAAGCATCTATCCCGAGATATACAGGTGAACCTCTCCAAGTGGAATCCCCAGGTGACCAGCAAAAACTGATCAACTTCAGGATGTTTCCAGTTGGGGAGAAAATAATTTTTGTTGTGGGGAATACAGAAGAATTGAATTAAATTGTAAATTGTGATATTCTGAGCCTTTAATTGCTTCTTAAATGAGTTGAAACAGGATGCTGAACTTGAAGGCAAGTGTCCATTTGACCAACTAGTAGTTCAATTCCTTTCAAAATGCATAATCTTTTAGGGAAGTCTTGTAAGTTGTTCAATTCATATAAAGAAGGCCTGGAATTTTCACAAACCTATGCAGTGATATTAGGGGCTATTTTAGAGCCTAAATATTTTCCTAAATGTCAGGTTTGTGCTGCTGTTTTTGGTCTGTTCAAAGACTGATCATGATAATTATGATGAAACAATGTACTGTTTTCTATGTGTGGATCTTCAAAAGTATTCCTTTCAATCTCTGGTACGTTTTGAGTTGATTGTTGCTTTTAGTATTTAAACAAATTTCAAACTTGAAAGATACAGCTACACTTTTTGAATTAAATACTTTTCAGTTGTGATCAAAGTTCTATCTAGCCTTCAATACAGTATTTGCATTAATTTTCAAAAAAAAGTTTGAATTGATGTATTTGATCAGAGTCAAAACACATTATAACTTCAACTTCATTTAATGTAAGCATTAAAATAATGCAGCATAATTTAAATTTGGATTAAAATAGTGTGAAACTAAAGCATGGACAATGCAAAATGACCAGTTTGTGAATGACTGGTTCTCTGATTTTTTTCCAATGCCTGACTTTCTTCTCCAATGCCTTTTGGATTTAATCCTCTGCCTGCTCAAACAAATGTCTGTTCATCTAGGAATCTCTTGAACTTGAAAATAATGAAAAAAATCACAGCTTTTTCTTGTCGACTCCAAGAAATTCCTATGAGAGCCAATTATGTATTGCGCACAATGACAGATACAATATTCTAATATATGTCCTCACCAAGCTGACTTAAGTTCCACTGAGGTTTGGGCTAGGTCTACTGTACCTATTTTTGGATTCCTTTAGTCCATTTTTCATGTGTGTATGGGGTGTAATAAACAAA